TTTTTTTTTTTTTTTTTTTTTTGCTGGTTGTGGGGCCTGAACTCGGGGCCTGGGCACTGTCCCTCAGCTCTTCAACTCAAGGCTAGCGCCCTACCCCTTGAGCCACAGCACCACTTCCGGCTTTTTCTGCTTATGTGGTGCTGAGGAATCAAACCCAGGGCCTCAGGCATGCAAGGCAAGCACTCTGCCACTGAGCCACCTTCCCAGCCCTTAGATTTCTTTTTTTTTGGGGGGGGGGTTCCGATTGTGAGGCCTGAACTCTGGGCCTGGGTGCTGTCCCTCAGCTCTTCAGCTCAAGGCTAGCACTCTACCACTTGAGCCACTTCTGGCTTTTTTTCTTTTTGCTTATGTGGTGCTGAGGAATCGAACCCAGGGCTTCAGGCATGCAAGGCAAGCGCTCGACCACTGAGCCACCTTCCCAGCCCCCTATTTCTCATCTGTAGCAATAAAATTGTATAATCTCTGTGAGATTTTTTTCTAAGCTTTTAGTATAGAGGCCAAATACTAGATAATACGTAATATTTATTACATTTTCTGAGTATTTGTTTGCTAATTATCCTTTTTTATGTTTCTTTAGGATCCTTCATCTGTACATAATGCAGACAATGCCTTTACACTATTTTATGTGAAATTTCGAGCTGCTGCCCCCAAAGTCAGAGTAAGTCCATTGGCATAAATAGAATATTATCATGAAATATTCTCAGTCAGCCCTTTGGAAGTCCTTTGCTAATCTCAGAGATAAGAACAGGAATGGAAAGAAGGTATTATCCTTTCACATTTCAGCAGTGTATCATAGAGGTGTGTCCTGGGGAGCTGGAAGTCCACAGAGGAGGAAACACCTTGTTCTTCCTGTGATGCTTAGGAAGGTTTCTAGATGCAAGTGGCAATTGAGCTTCCGAATCTTTGATTTATATAGGACTCAAGAGGGTTGATAAAGGTATTTTATACAGAAAACATTACAGGGAAGTTTGCAGAGCCAGAAAAGAAATGTATTTGGGAAGAATCCATGTATTTGTTGTGACATGAATGCAGGATGTTAGTAGGTGTGATGAAAGGAAGGCAGGAAAGGTGACAGAGCAATTAGATCCAAGTCTGGGTGTGTAAAATAAAAAAACAACTAGATTGTCTTAACTATTTTCTGTGTTTAAGATCCTAAGGGAGGTGTCTACCCATCCCATCTTTTTTTGGTACCAGTCCTAGGACTTGACCTCAGGGGCTAAGCACGATCTGCCTAGCTTTTTTACTTAAGGTTAGTGCCTTGCCACTTGATCCGCAGCTCTACTTCTGGCCTTTTAGTGGTTAATTGGAGTTGAGGTTTAGGGGCTTTCTTGCCTTGCCTGGCTTTGAACCACAATTCTCAGATCTCCGCCTCTTGAGTAGCTAGGATAACAGGCGGAAGCTACTAGTACCCAGCTTGGAAAAACATCTTAAGTGAAATATAGAAATAGTAAGCAGATATTCCCCCCCCCCAAAAAAAATAAAAAGGTAGAAAAACATTGTTGGAAAAAAATTACAGAGAAAAAGTTGAGTATTTAAAACTTAATTTTCTAAATTCTGAATAGTAAAAGCAAAGGCTAAAATGGAGATGTTTGTAAAATTAACATTTTTAATATGTTGTACTTATAAATCAGTACAAGAGGATGAATACCTAATATTAAGTGACCAAATTACAGAATATGTGAGAAATGCATTCAAGTTAAGGCTTAGCTTTTTTTCTTTCATCTATCAGAAATAGGCAAATGAAAGTGTGGTATAGTAGTGTTTTCAAAGATTTGATGAGAAGCAGTACTGCTGATGGTGATATGAATGAATTACTTCCTAAACTATATTTTAGCAGTATACATGAAAGCCTGTAAAGTACACCTCTCCTTTGATCCAGTGTATTGGAATCTTCACTGGAGAGGTAAATGTTCTTATTATACCGGTGTTCTAATAGAAGGAAGTGTGATCTCGAGAGGTGAACTAGAGCTTGCCAGGGCTTAAACAGTAATGATGGAGCTTGAACTCCTTGGTTTCACTCCATGCACTTAACCGGTCATGAGGATTCTTTAGAAATACCTTAAAGTTCTAAACAGTAGAATTGTTGACTTGTGGTCCATTACTCAATATGATAAGATGTAGCCATTGGGCTGGGAAGGTGGCTCAGTGGTAGAGCACTTGCCTTGCATGCATGAGGCTCTGAGTTCGACTCCTCAGACCACCTAAGCAGAAAAAAAAGCCAAAAGTACTGTGGCTCAAGTGGTAGAGTGCTAACCTTGAGCTGAAGAGCTGAGGGACAGTGCCCACGCCCAGAGTTCAGGCCCCATGACTGGATCCCAAAAAAACCCCAAAACTAGATAATATGTAGCCATCTTCACATACTGATTTACATGTTATGTATAATGATTGAGTTTTATTAGCAACCAAAAACTTGATTACAGCTTTCTATACATATTACTGTAATGTGGAAAATTATTTAATGATGGCAATATTACTTCTTAAAGGATAAGAATATAAAACAATATATAATTCTAGTTTTTAAAACTAAATATAGAACTATAGGTATAAAATATTAAGTGTGATAACTTTAATATAGGTGATAACTTTAATAATAGGTGATTATTATGGCTTTAAATTTTTTTTGGGGGTGGGGAGTAGGTTGTGGGGCTTGAACTCAGAGAGGCTCTGTCTCTGAGCTCTTTGCTCAAGATGAGCATGCACCACTTTTTTTTTTTTTGGTTCTGGTCATGGGGCTTGAACTCTGGGCCTGAGCGCTGTCCCTCAGCTCTTCAGCCACTTTCGGCTTTTATTTTTCTGCTTATGTGGTGCTGAGAAATCGAACTCAGGGCCTCATGCATGCAAGGCAAGCGTTCTACCTCTGAGCCACCTTCCCAGCCCCGAGCATGTTCCACTTTGAGCCACAGCTCTGCTTCTGGTTTTTGAAGGATTATTTGGAGATAAAGAGTCTCAGAAGGACTTTTCTCCCTGGGCTGGCTTAGAACCATGATTTTCAGATCTCTACCTCCTGAGTAGCTAGGATTACCGGCATGAACCACTGGTGCCTGGCGTGTTTTTTTTTTTTTTTTTTTTTTTTTTTTGCTTGTTTTTTGTAAGTCTTGAGGCTTGAACTCTGGGCCTGGGTGCTGTCCCTGAGCTATACAGCTCAAGGTGAGAACTATACCACTTGAGCCACAGCGCCATTTCCAGTTTTCTGGTAGTTAATTGGAGATAAGAATCTCATAGACTTTCCTGCCTGGGCTGGCTTTGAACCACAATCTTTAGATCTCAGCTTCCTGAGTAGCTAGGATTACAGGTGTGAGCCACCAGCTCCTTGCCCTGGTATGGTTTTAAATTTTTTAATGTTTGTATGAGTAGCTAAGATTACAGGTGTGAACCACCAGTGCCTGGCCCTGATGTGGGTTTAAACTTTTTAATATTTATATTTTTAAAGTGAATGTGGTACAATTATAGTCAGAAAGTAATGAAAAGTACAATTGAAATAGGTTTGTATTTTTCTTTACAGACTCTTATTGAACAGATAGAACAACGATCTGAAAAAATACCTGAGTAAGTACCCAGAAGTTCTTTGGCTTCCACATTATGTTGTATTTTTGCAAATATGTTCCCAATATTTTCTGAGCAATTGCCTTCAAACTTGTTCTTGTGTCTTATAAACCGTTTTGGGGAGCAAGGTTTCAGACTTGACTTAGCAAGTTTAAATGGTGGCATTATTTCCCAAAGCAGAGTTTCCTTTCATTTGGATAGATAGGAGGCCTTCTATTTTGTGTGTGTATGTTTGCATGTGTCAGTACTGGGCTTGAGCAAAAGGCTGTGCACTAGCTTGGTGTTTTTTTGCTCAAGGCTGGTGCTCTGCCACTAGATCCACTACTTTACTTCTGTCCTTTTCTGGTTTGAGATAAGAGTCTCTTGGACTTTTTTTTTTGTTGGTCGTGGGGCCTGAACCCTGGGTCTGGGTGCTGTCCCTCAGCTCTTCAGCTCAAGGCTGGCACTCTACCACTTGAGCCACAGCGCCACTTCCGGCTTTTTTTTCTTTTTTCTTATGTGGTGCTGAGGAATCGAACCCAGGGCCTCATGCATGTGAG